TGCACTCCGGCATCACTTCCAGCCCTGTTTTTTTCTATTAAGTGATAATGGAGGGTGAATTTTTATATCGTCACCGAGGTTACTTGGTCTACAACTACATAGAAGGAAAAAATTTGACTTCCAGAATTTTCAGCAAACGGTAAAAGAAACTTTCCATTCTTCAGTTAATCCACGTTATATTTTATGAATATTTGAATATGTTGATGAATATGATAATGACAGAATATTTTTAAGCCACTCAAATGTTTACTGCTACCCCAACATTCAACCGGTTATTCACAAGATTTCTGCAACATATCTTCATCTAACAACTATATTTAATTTTTAACGCGTACTTTACCTTTTCTACTATCCAGAAAAGTATGTATACTTCAAATCTTGCATATATCCCGAGTGAACATAATCCATAAATTTAGTAAAGTACACACTCCACATAACTAAGCACCAACTCAAATTATTGTCTGTTTATTCCTGCAGTCCCGCGATGAAACTGAAGATGGAACTAATCACTTCGCGATGAATCTTGGACCTGAATCGACATCATTAAGAGGTGTGCTATTTGTTTGCAGATAAGTGTTTGAATAAGTAATTCAGTTGAGGTTACTGATGTATGGTGGACATTCAGTGAATGATGGTAAATAAACACCACTTTCGCGCAGTATCTCCTCTACCATTTTCTTGCGAGGTGTTCCATAACGTGAGGAGAATCGCCGTCAGGCAGAAGTAGGTTTTTTCATTATGGTTGGGGGAAACGAGCGCGCGTCACAGAACCGGATCAGGTTATTCCTCGAAACGTTTGATATATTCAGCGTATGGGAAAAAATTAGGTATCTAGAGAATGCGCTGTAAGTGTGCCAATAAGCAGAGACGTGAATTATTTGAAATACATGTATACAATATGCTGAATAACTTTTTTGATTTAACATTTTGAATACTTTTTCGAAATGTACCTATTCAGTATTTATATAAATATTCAGCATTCTTTTATTCATTTTTTCTTATTTTTCATTATTAAATCAAGAATTACTCCATTTATGGTCGCACTAATCATGTTCGTTAGAACTATTATTGAAAGTTCGTGGCAATTCTAGTACCTACTATTTTCAACTTTTTGCCTCTGCTCTAATAGGTATTTTGTAAAATTCAAAAGCTAGCTTTTGAGATAAGAGTAAAAAAATCACGAATGAGAAAGAATTTTCCAAATAAATTTAAAAAGATCCGGTTTTTCTTTCAGAACTAGGTCATTTGAACTACCCCTCTCTTAACGTCAAATTTTATATGACGCCACCAGCTTAGGTTAGGTTAGGTTATGTCCAAAGTGAGTGGGTCTATTCGACCCTCCACCGCAACCCGCAAGGGTTTATTGTAGCTCACACATATTCACACTCGGCCAAATAAACCCAGCTTCTTAACGAAGTCTATAAGTTTGTATGGTGAGTGGTCCTTAGGTCAAGTGGTGAGAGTACGGCTCTGTCAAACTCTAAAGACCTGATTCGGTCCCCAGCGGGGCAGGCACAAAGTACATGCTCTGTTACTGAGGTAGTCCAATAGTCAAGTTGCAAGATTCCCTCCTTGATACCCACGACAACCTTCCCATATGAGGGTTTTTGCACGTCAGCTACACCTGACAATGCTCTAAATTCAGCCGTGCTGCTCATAAGGGGTTTGTTCTCTCAACTGAGACAGATTCTTTGTACGCCGCTCAAGAATTTGATGCAAGGCGGTTTTATAAGGTACCTCGCTGTTGAGGAGACGACTCAGTCGTTTGCTGGTTGCACCACCAAACCTTTATTTAAGATTTTGATTGTCAAGTTGGCGGGAATTCAGTCAGAATGTAGAAGAAAACCAATTTCTAAATTGTCGACGTTTCGACTTTATTGTTTCATCTTCAGGGCTCTGAAGTATAAGAACAAGACATACATATTAAAATGGAAATTTACAAAGCAGTTCTGTTAGAAACAAAATAAATTATGTAATATAACAATCGTTTGTTCTGTCTGAATATACTAATTTTTCAATTAAAGATCTAGGATAGCAATTCTTAAGTAACATAGTTTCTATCAGTTTTAGATGTTTGGGATGATAACTATTGAATGTTGTTAACATTCTATCTACGTTTCCTTTCTCTATGCACAAAACTATATCATCAACATATCTTTTGAAAAAAATTATCGGAAAATTACATTGACGTAGATATTTATTTTGTAAGTCAGACATAATAATATCAGAGCAAATTGGTGATAAACAGTTTGCCATTCCTAGGCCGATAATCTGTTTATAGAAAACTTCATTGAAATTAAAATAGCTGTTACTCGTTACGAACTGGAATAACTCAATGAATGTTTCTAAAGGGGTAGTAGTGTGTGGTTCTATTAAATGCCATTTTCATTAACGAGACTTAGTACTAGATCTATTGGTATGGTGGTGAATAGAAATCCATTGATATCAAAATGAACTCGTCTGGTACGATAACATCTTTCATTTGATCGACAAAGTCAAATGAATTTTTCACGTAATGGTCATCTTTTATAAATGCATGTTTGAGGAGACCATCTAAAATTCACTCAAATTATATGTAGGTGATCCAATAAAACTGACAATTGGGCGTAATGAAATATTTTCCTTGTGTACTTTAGGTAAAAAATATATCTTCGGAAAAATTCCATTTGAGCACCTTAGGTTATCACCAATTTTTTTGTCTAGGTATTTTTCTTCCACTAATTTTTTAATGAGTCTATCATTTTTTTCTTGAATTTCTTTTGTCGGGTCTTTATTCAGTGGCGTAAGTTGAAACATCATTCAGTAGTGATTGAGCTTTAACTAAATAATCATGTTTTTTCATTGCTACTGTTATATTTCCTTTGTCTGCTTTCGTTATTATTATGTCTGGCTTATTTTTGATGAATATAATTGCTTTTTTAGGTATGTTTTTCAAGTTTTTTTGATTAACCAGTGAGTTGTTGTTGAAATTTCTTTTGTTCATATATTTTGTGATGACATTTATAGCTGTATTTCTTTTTCTAATTTGTTCGTTCTCATCTTCTAAATTTCCTATGATATATTCCAAATATTTCAAAATCTGTTGTACTGGAATATTTTTTTTGTATATGGTAAATTAAATTTATCTCCTAGACTCCAAACAGTTTTGACGTCATTTTAAGGTTCAATTGTTGCATCAGGAATTGAGGAGATAAGAAGCTCTCGCTTCTGAACCTCACAGGGAGGTCAGTTGGAGTCATAAACTCGACATCAATCTCCTTTATAGACTCGCTCCCGATCTAAATTTACAGGGGGTCAGTTGGAGTCGTAAACTCGACATCCATCTCCTCTATAGACTCAGCGTCAGAAAGAAGTTTTAAGTTTACTCTGTCCATAAAAGTCCCACGAGTAGCTAGGGAAAGGAGGTCAATCATACATCATACAATTATATGTAATTACAGAATATTCAATGAGATTTATGAGGTTTATTGATTGATCACAGGATCTTCGTAATGGAGTCGAATCAGATATCATTCACCGGATTCCTACACAATATTATCATTCACAAAATCATTCCATTCATATTAAATTACATTATAAAGGATCCTGGAACCTACTCAAATATATCTGCAATATGCAAAAAGTGTACAAATACACTAAAAGGAAGTTTGAATGTCAAAACCAACTTTTTGAACAATTTAAAAGTAGTAAGTACTAAGATTCCATTTATATTTTATTTTGTGAAGGAAAATGTATTTCGATTTCAGAACTAATCAGCTAATAAAATAGGATTCAATTTAATATCAAATAATATATTTGCAGATGTTCTATGTTTCAAACAATGAACTGATAATTATACTTTTGCAGAGAAAAGGACATACCAATCGATTGGCAGAGTATAAGAAACTCAAAATTCAAAATAACAAGAAGAGAAAACATGTTGGTGGTGCTGGTGAGGGGTCTACTTCATCTAAAACATTGAAACTATTAACTCTTCTAGCCATCTTACCAAAGTCAGGTATCTTCGACAGGTTACTTGTGATTTTTTTAATAAATACCATGTCTCCTATATCAATTGTAGAAAATAGATCCTTTAAGGCAACCCATCATTTGAAACATCAATTTGAATACTTTTCGATGTGAATTTGAAAAACTCATGCATTAAACTCAACTTTATTTTGTTCAAACTTGCATTTGCTGTAATAACCCAAATTGAGGAACATTCCCCATTGTTTGAATAATCAAGTTATTATTCGAATTATAAATCACTCACAATGCGCAGTATAGACTCATTCGATAGACATCGATAACTCAGTAGTTGTTCAGTATGTGAATGTATTTTATCAGACTAAACTGTGATTCTCACTGTAGACTAAGAACAATGTTTCATTTCAATTTTGTACATTGATGATTCACTTCGATTTTGTGAATTCATTGTTAGTTTTGTTCATTAAGTTTTATAACGTATTCAAAAAACACTTCATCATGAGATTTTCACTAAACCATTGTATGACGAAACACGTATTGCGTTTTTGTGAAACTGTACAGTGAAAATCTCACAATGAAATCTTTCTTGATTACGTTAGTTATGGATTTTCATCATATATATCATCCATTATATATATCAAGTTTTATGTTTAAATTTTGAAATTACGTTATTCCACACATTGATCTTATTTCAGATTGGGTTATTCCCGAAAAAAGTTATTCGTTGTCTGTACTCGATCAAATAACATCGAGCAAAGAATAACTTTTGTCGGAAATAGCCCAAAATGGAATAGGATTAGTTCCAGCAAAAGCACCTACTATCAGTAGTTGACTCAAAAATGACAGTAAGTAAAACAGTTGTGATTCTGCTACAAGCAAACAAGAACAACTTTATGTTTATGTTTAAGTTCTGTAATGCACATAATGTCAAATCAATTCAAATTATGGTCAAATGCGCCTGAATAATGAAGCAACGACTTATAATTAAAGAAGAAGAAATATTCGAATCTAAAGAGAAGAAGAAGAACTATAAAGTGTTTGAGGTTAATATTTATAAGTTTGAATCAAAATTGGAGATGGATTATTTTGGAATCAATAAAATGTCTACCATTCAAAAACCGGACACTCTCCAAGAAGTAGTGGCAAGTGATGAATCATCAACACAATCAGAGGAAAAAGAAAGTAATAATGGATTTACTGTAGAAGAGTCACTCCAGAAAAACATGCCAGTGGAAACTGACACTAACCTTCCTGAAGATTCTTGCCAGGTAAAAAACGAAAATGATGAGTGCCAGAAAACCCTACCAGAAAATTGTGTTAAGGAGCAAGAAATTCCTGCTGCTGAAAAATGCATTAGAAACTCTCAAACAGATGAAAGCGGTGGTATGATATGTGAAGTGATTTCTGGACCTGTAGTATCACAAATGAATACAAACATCTCTGAAGACAGGGAGAAACAAGATGGTTTACAAAACGATTTAGCAAGTATAGTTGAAAAACTGACTTTGTCCCAGAAGGATCACAGACAACATAAATCTGAAGTTATTGTGAAAAATAATTCTCAATCCTTGAAATGTTTATTGGTTTATGGTGATGGAGACGAATCTGATAATGATGAAAATAATACCAATCATGAAATAGAGCACAAGGAAACTCCAGAGCAAAAGGAAACTTCCAGTAGTTCCTCAGATTCTGAAAGTGACTCTGATTCCGATAAGGATTCAAGTTCTGTGTGTTCAGAAATTGACAGTGACAGTAGTTCTGAGTGAGTATATACCATTATTTTTTTGAAAATTTTAGACATTTGTCAATATTCAATTGCATTCAACTACAATCTTATTTTCCAGATCAGAATCAGTGTCTAACAAAAATGACAGCTCCAATAAGGCATGTAAGACAGGAACACCGTATTTTGAAGATCCACCGTCCCTTATAGACCTCTCTGAATTGGAAGTGGATTATCAAAAAGAAACATTCACACATGTAGGTGAAATCTGTGCAATAATTGAAATAGAAAAGATAGGTGAGTGAACTGCATTTTAACATCTCATATAAAGAGGTAAATGTTTCACCATGTAGATATAAAAGTGAAAAAGCAATAAGTTTATCAATCAGATATGTACTCAATACACGTCATATTCAAAGAAGCAAGTTAACGAATAATTAAAAAAGACAGATCTGCAATAAATAGTTTTTGATTTTTTTTCTTCAACATGCTTTATTGTCTAAACAGTAACTCTCATTGACGAAGCTTAGAAGAATAATAGTGTTATGAATAAAAAAAAAGAACACAGATGCATATTGCTTGATTGAAGTATACCGGGTGATAAGGAACTCTTTGTACACGGCGACATTTAATTGTTTATGAGGTGAGGTGAGAGAAGAAATAAAAATTTTTAATAATGAAACACTTGAAAATTTAACCTAAACCGAATAGGTCTTTCACTATATGAGAGTGGTCCCAGAAGTACACAACCCAACAATGAAAACAGAAACTTTTTGGAAAAAAATGTATTTATTTTTCAACAAAATCTCCTTGTAGCTCTATACACTTTTCCCAGCGACGTTCAATAATTCAAGATGGTTTTTGTAATAAGAATTGTCTTGATTCTCAAAATAGCCATCAACTGTTGACATCACTTCTTCATCATTGGAAAATATCTGACCACTGAGCCATTTTTTCAAATTTGAGAACAGAAAATAATCTGAGGGGTAGGAACTTAAACTTTAATTCTTTAATTTTGGTCATTGCAATAATGGATTTTTGAGCTGGTGCATTGTCTTTTTGCTTGATTTCTTTCTCAAATGTTGCAACAAATTCCCATAATACTCGCCGTTCATAATTATACCTTTTTTAAGATAGTCAATGAAAATTATCCCACGTGCATACCAAAAAACCGATGCCATGACCTTGCCTGCAGGTAAAATGGTCTTTGCCTTTTTTGGAGTCGGTTCCCCCTCTTGAGTTGATTCTTCCTTGCGAGTCCACTGTTTTGATTGTTTTATTTGTCTCGGCCGTAAAGTGATGGACCTATGTTTCATCCATTGTTATGAAACATTGCAAGAATTCTGCTTTGTTGCTGTGAAACTTCGCTAAACACTCAATTGAAACATCTTCACGACACTGTTTTTGCTTGAGTGTGAGCTAACGCAATAGCCATCTTGCACACAACTTTCTCATGTCCAAATTTTCAAGTAATATACGATGTACCGCACTTTTTGAAATGCCTCCTAAGTCTGCTAGCTCGTGCAAACGACTACGAATTTTCTCCATTTTCTCAAATTCATCGAAGGAGTTCGCTATTGATGGCTACCAAACAAATATTAAACAACGCAGCGTCTTCAGAAGCTCCAGCCAAACCCGTTTACGTCTCAGTTCATCATATTTAATCATCGCAATTCCGCAACTTCTCCAACAATCAACTATCAGGAAAATAACGAGATTAAGGTATCCCTATAAACCCAAACACAACCGTCCAAATCTTCTACTGTGCCAACTCACTGGTATTATCCCTATAGAGGAAAGACTTCTGTCACTTACTCAGAAGTTTGCTGGAAAAGACGACAATGTGGAAATCATTAGAAAGTATGCTGTGACAAGAAACCCCATGCAAGAGTACGACATCGACACCCAACAGAAACACTGTTGGAAAAATTACTACAACTTTCATTAATGAAATTGTTTTGTTTGTTCATTTGTATATTCTTACAATTTTTTTTTGGATTATTGTAAAATAAGCTATGTAATTTCAAAGCAATTTTGTTACACGGGCGGAAGGACTTCAGTTGACAGCCGTTGAGCAAAATTGTAATTTTGTTCAATAAATTACAATTATTTTTATTATTTTTTCTTGAAAGATATGCTTTATAGCCATCTCTAGGTTAAGCCAGGAATTTTTTGGACCACCCTTGTATTATAGGAATCACCACATATTACTGATCAAGAACTGTTCTATTTTGTTGATTTTCTGATTTTTCATTCACTTTCAGGGATCATAGTTTTTTCAGTATACCGCCTAGAGATAATTTTGACATCTAATACAACATCAATCAATCAATCAATTTATTCAATTCACATACATATTCTTGTGCATAATAGATGTTACTATATTTTCAATGATAATTACAGTAGATTATCTCCGTAAATACTTTATATTTTGTCTTTTTTTCTTTTAGTTACAGTTACTACTATTAGTGGAACACCAGTTCATAATATTGGCACCATTCTCTTCATCGATAGTGGTGATTCAAAGAAGCCTTTTGGTGAAATATGTGATGTTATAGGTCAAGTAAGTTCGCCAACATACTGTGTTGGATTCAAAAGTATTGATGAGATGAAGGAACTTGGAATCGAGAAAAAAATGAAAGTTTGTTTTTTTTAGTTACAGTCACTACTATTAGTGGAACACCAGTTCATAATATTGGCACCATTCTCTTCATCGATAGTGGTGATTCAAAGAAGCCGTTTGGTGAAATATGTGATGTTATAGGTCAAGTAAGTTCGCCGACATACTGTGTTGGATTCAAAAATATTGATGAGATGAAGGAACTCGGAATCGAGAAAAAAATGAAAGTCTATTCTGCACCCACAAATAGTAAACTTTCATTATATGTTTTCCTCAAAGATTTATTGGCGTAAGTATTATTTATTTATGGAAGTAGCTTGATTTTTGTTTTTTTTTTTCACCGACAAATAGCTATACCTGGTGACACAAACTCATAGTATACCCTATTTTTTTTTTCATAAGCTCTTTTTACGAAATTCAGAATATTGAATATTCTCACAAAGAGGCACTTTTTGACGTAACCGGGGACTTTTTCCAACTTGTAGTTTTTTAAAAAGGACATCAAAGTTTGATTTTCAAATGGAGCTCCCTGTATACTATTACATTTTCGAAATTTGCGTAATTTTTTTAATCCGATGATACCCCATAGTTGATATTTGAATATTGGATTGGATCACATGGTTTTGTGAGGTGGCCTGCAAAATCACCCAATTCAATCCCTTCAGACCTCTTTTAGACCCTTGTGGGTTATAGGGGAAGTTGATATGAAATAATAAACTTGGCTTTCGATGAACGATTATTGTTAATTAGTTACATTGTTGGAGATCGTATGAACCGCAAAAAGTTTGAAATGCCAAATTATAGGGAATGTCCACAAATTGCATTCACTGAACAACATTTGTATTTGGAATGATGTACCGAACGATAATGTGAGAGAATTTACTTCAAACGTCTTCTCAAGAACGAAGTTTAGACTTATAGTACATGACGCGTCAATTCTTTATTTATTTAGTCATTTTTTCCAAAATTTGGCGTAAAATTCCATACTTTGGAATTACAAGAACATTATCTACTTGCATAGATAACCTCTTCACTAACATGATTTTAGATAACATAAAAGGATACGATATTTTTCTGCCTGATCACACTTATCAGGTCTGCGTAAAGAACTCAAAGCCTTCTGGCAGTAATCATTTTGAAGCGGGACATAGACGATTCTAACATACCAGGCCTGTTCAAAAAATAAGGTGAATTTTCATTTTTCTCAAATGATATTTCTTTTTTCATCAATTTCTGTTTTGTCTTCTTAATAGTAGTCCCCTTCAGATATAATACACTTGTGTCAGCGTTTTTTCCAATCCTCGTCCTTTCATTGGTCTGTTTATTGCGAATAGGGAAAAGTCGCAGGGGTCAAATCTAGTGAATATGATGGCTAAGTCATGATTACGGTGTTGTTTTTGGCCAAAATTTATGAACAAGCCATGACGAGCGAGAAGGTGCATTATCGTGATGCAAAAGTCATGAATTGTTTTTACACAAGACCAGACGTTTTCTTCATATTACAGAAGCCAATTTATATGTCGACATCCTCAGCAACTTCTCTAATAGTGATTCGACAATTTTCCATAACAATTTTGTTTACTTTCTCAACATTTTCATCGGTTGTTGAGATGCTGGGGCATCAAGGGAGAGTGTCGTCATTCATATCTTCTCCACCTTCTGTGAAAAGCGTGTACCGCTTGAAAATATTTTTCTGACAGAGAGTACAATCACCGTATGCCACTGTCAACATTGCAAGTGTTTTTGATCACTCAATTCCATTTCTTAGACAAAATTTGATGCATATTCTTGGATCAATTTTTTAAAACTTTGAATATTCATCGTATTTTTTTAACACACCTAGTATTTTGGTAGACATCTAAAGAATGAAATGTCCAGATATCATATTTGATAATCCACATGCATACATGTACAGGATGTTTCCGAAAAATCAGTTTAGGACCATGTTTCCATAAACTACCCAGAAAACTAAGGAGTATTGACACCTACACAAAAAAAATCTTAAAAAAAATTAATATAACAGAATGAAAGAATATGATACATGGGTATAACACCGCAAAGGTTAGCTTCTTCAGGGAAATTATAGTAAACAATATTGAAAAATTGAGAACTTGCATTTTCGGGTGTAAGAAAAAAGAAAAGAAAATTATATAAAATGGAAATCTCAAAATTCGTTTGCGTTCTTCCTGATTATCTCAACACTGACCAGAACATCTTCCGAAACTTCGTTCATAGAATTCAAAGCGAGTTCAAAATTCTTATTGAGATCAAGTTCTTCAAAATAAAATCTTTGAAAAAATTTTGGCATCAATTATTTTCTTCGACATTTCTTTGTTTTGCTTACCCAAGTTTTCAATGGTTTTGTTTGTAATTCATGTCAACTGTTCACAGAGAAAAACACACTGATGCATTGAGCGGTGAAGAGTCTTCCTCAGATGAAGAAGTTTGTGACAAATTACCACAAAAAAGGAAATCCTGTGGTACAATCTTAGAAAACGGCAATCATTCATATTCCAAGAGCAGTAGAGGTAGAGGCAGAGGAAGAAGGAATACGAAATATTCGAATATGGCACCTGTTCGACAATACCAAACCCCAGTTCCTTTTTATGATCCATCAGTTCCTCCTCCACTGTACCAGAATAATTCAAGGTGAATCATTTGTTTTTAAATTTTTGGAGAGTGATGTGAATCAATACTTAATTTGTTTCTCTTTTATATCTGGTTTGATCTCAATCTCAAATATCAAATTTTTGTGATTCTATGAAGCAAAGTTCTTGTTTTAGTATTGAAACTGGTTTGAAAAATAGTTATTCAGGGAAACTATACTAATCAATATTGAAAAATTGAGGACCTAAATTATCGGATGTCACAAAAAAGATAAAATGATATGGAAAGGGAATCTGAAAAAAGAATAAGTCCATCCACAATCGTTTTCTGATGATGGAATAGAATAGACATATACTTTATTGTCCAAGAAAATACAATCTTATTAACAATAAAGTAATATGTATCCCAGTATAAAATATAATTTAAAGTATATGTGTCAATATAAACAACCAAAAAAAAACACCTATACTAAATCACAGCAAAGTTCCATTGTAATATTCATCAAGATTGTAGTAGGCTTTAGTTGCAAGGGCATTTTTAACAAGATTTCTGAACTTTTTATAGCTTTTTTCCTTCCTAATTTCGTAAGGTATGTGATTATACAGCTTTTTACTTTCATAAATTAAAGAATACTTTGTCTGGCTTGTTTTTGGAATAGGAAGATGTATTTTATTTTCAGTTACTTGCCGGGTTATGTAATTTGTAGGTTCCGGAGTTCCAACCATGTTATGTTTTTAGTAAATCATGCAAACAGTTTCAAATATGAAAATACAAGTAACAGTGAGAATTTTTTCTCTCAAAAATAATGTTCTGCGTGACTCACGTACTCCCACCTTGCATAAGTATCTAACCGCTCGCTTTTGCAAAACAAACACTGAATGAAAAAGTTGTTGACTGCGACATCCCCAGAAGGCATCACCATATCTCAGGTGGGACTCAATCAGGGAATGGTATACCATTTTCCTTGTGGATGAACCCAGTTCATTTGAAACTATTCGAAGTGCATAACATCCTGATGCCAAATTTTTATTCAAAGCTGAAATATGTTGATCAAATTTTAATTTGTTATCCATGAAGATTCCCAGGAATTTGAATTGCTTTTTATTCTCAAGAATTTGTCCATTCAAGTATACATTGTTGATATTACAGCTGAAGGTGAGTAGGTTTGTTTTTTTAATATTAAAGCACAAGTAGTTCGCGTCACACCATTTTTTCACAACTTCTAAATCACTAGAGATAGTTTCTTTCATATTAGAAGTATTTTTTCCACGCCAAAGGATCGTGGTGTCATCCGCGAAGATGGTAAAACTTCCTTGAATTGAAAGAGTCACCAGGTCATTTACATCAATAAGGAAAAGAATCGGGCCTATAGTAAAACCAATAATGATTGAGAGTCATATCTAAATTTTACGTTACCAGTTTATAGCAGAATCAAAATATAGTAAGCAGTAGAGTTGTAGGTTGTGACAAATTATAGATAATACACAATACTAGTACGATTAAAAGGTATTATTTATGACAAAAATCAGTAATGAGCTTGTAATGAGTAATACTTATACATTTCCTGATTACTGATCAGTTAAAATTCATTATTTTCTGTATAGTGTTAGATATTTATTACAACTAGTGGCAACGCTGTACGCAACGATATTTCTGTCTTTGTCNTATTTGCGATATCACATTCATTTTCTGCACAGCAGCATCCAGGCTTATATCACTACAAGCTAATAGAGTATCGTCTGCAAACAGGTTGATAAATTCACAATCAACATGTATATCTATATCTTTTAAATATATAATGAATAGTAAGGGGCCCAAAATACTTCCCTGGGGTACTACTTTATCGTTTAATATTTCATTTGAAATTGTACCATCGATTCTTACTCTTTGTTTTCTGCCTTCAAGATACTTTGAAAAACATTCATACACTTTGCCCTCAATTCCGTATATTTCCATTTTGCTGAGGATTATATATCTGTGGATTGTTTCAAAAGCTCTCTTCAAATCTAAAAATACCGCTACTACAAACTTGTTGTTTCCTAATTTGTTTATCAAATAGTTGAGTGACCTCTGTAATGCCAACTCACGAAAGTACTCTTTTCGAAACCCTGACTGATTATCGAACAGAATCTCATTTTCATTCACAAAGATCAGCAATTGATTGTAAACAGCATACTCAAGTACTTTCTCAATGGGCGGCAGCGTATTAATAGGCCTAAATTCCTCAGCTCTGATAGTTTTATTTACCTTAGGAATGGGAATAATAGTACCAATTTTCAGCAGATCTGGGATCTTTCCAGTCTGAATTTGAATCAAATTGTTTGTAAAAAATGTAATTAAGTGCTCAAAAACACTTGAAATGTTGACAGTGGCATACGGTGATTGTACTGTGAGTCAGAGAAATGTTTACAAGTTTTACAGGAAAAAACAACACCGTAATCATGCCTCAGCCACAGTGGTCATCAAATTTGCCCCCCTATGTCGTTTTTTCGTTCCAGAAATTGAAACGACCCATGAAAGGACAGCGTTCTGCGACGAGTGAGGTGATAAAACTGAATCGCTGACAGAGCTCAAGGACATACCAAAAAGTATTTATCAGAACTGATTCGAGGATTGGAAGAAACTCTAGCGCCAGTGTATTATATCTGAGGGGGACTATTTTGAAAGGGACAACATGGAAATTGAGGAACGAACGAATATTTTTTGAGAAAAATGATAACCCAACCTATTTTTTGAACAGAGTAGTATATTATGAAAATATTTTTAGGTTTGTCGTCTATTCAAATTCAAGAATGTTGTGTTTTACATACTATTCTATAGTTCATTAACTGTCGTTATTATTACAGCTGGAACAATAATCCCAGAACAAATGCGGCACCACCTCAATTTTGGAGTACCCCTCCATACCTGAGGACTCCTCCGCCATACCAAAGGGGACCCCCACCAAGGCCAGACAGCAATACAATATACAATGCGCAATGTATGCCGCCACCTGCCACACATACTAGTTTTCAACCATTGGGATTTTCACCACGTTTTCCTCCTCCTAGCTATAGGCAGAACTTTCCTAGCAGTGACATACAAAAATCTCTACAATAACTCAAATTGAGATTGATACATTGAAAAGATTGTTGAATGATGAATACCTTCTAATTCATCAACATTTTTTCACTACGATTTTTAAAGATTGAAACCTCAAGAAATTAAAAAATGTATATTCGAAAACGATTACTAATTTTCTATTTACGTACAGTGTGTTATGTAACGAGTGTCCGGTATTTTACTGGACNCGAATACGTCTGAATCATATATATCAAAGCTCACTCTATAAACAGGGAGTAGCGAGAGAGAAACGGCAACACAGTCCAGGTTACTATATATTGAAAGTAAGGTTATTATGTATATAGATATTAAAAAGTATTTTTCATCTAAATGTTTTTCAAAAATGACAATAAAAATATATAAACTGATTTCTTTTATTTTTCTTTTTTTTTCCTATACATATTTTTTTAAATGATTGTGATTCAGTTACATTTGTTTATTAATAGATAGATAGATATATAGACAGATAGGGTCTAACTCAGCCCTGCCAGAATGAAAATGCAATGATGTACTAAATCATGAAAGAAAAAGTACTAAATCCGGGCAAAACGTACTGAAAAAAGTAAATATCAATATGTACCAAAACGGACTAAAAAGCACCAACACCGAACACGAAAAGTACTAAATAAATGGCGGGAACTTCAAATAAATAGCGGGAATTTTAAATTAATGATTTATTTATAATAACAAAGGGACAGAACTTCACAATCTTGCTGTAGACCTATATAAAAAAATAAATATATGCATTTATTATAATAAAAAATATTTTCTGAAATACATACAGATATAAATACTAAAAACAATGATAACGAAAAAACTTATTTCAACATATTTTGCATATATCACTGGTACAGCAACTAAAAATATTCGTAAATTCAGATGTCAACAAAACGAATGGATCTATACTATAACTCTTGTATAGAAACTATATGTTCCATATTATCGATATTATCATTGTTATGGTTAAAATGAGTATCTCTAATTCTGCTTGGCTAATATCAGTGTTGATTTCTAAAACAATACTTTCATTTTCATTGACCGGTTCTAGTTCTAAAGCAACCTGCTTTTCTTCTCGTATAACAAACCTTCAAAAATAAAACGTATTGATACATGATTATTAATTATAATGTACAATTTTCAATTTACTTGTCCATTATTATAATTTATATTAACAAAATGACAAAACACTTTTTACCGTGATTTACATTTGTTAACAATTCAGATATGGCAATTGTCAGTGACAATTGACGATTTTGACAAGAGCTTCTCATTTGTACTAAAAATTGTACTAAATATAAATTATTCGCTAAAATGTACTAGATGTGTTAGATGTAAGACTAACGTACTGAACATTGGCCGAAATCACTAGATCTAGTACGAAAACACTAGTTCTGGCAGCCCTGGTCTGACTCCTCTGGACCTGTACGTTATGGAGGTTGCGTTAATAGCCGTGTTACGATTGCGCACGGCTAGTGTAAACCTCGAAGTAGGAAGAAGTTGGCAAGAAGCACTTACTTCGCAACCTCTGCTGCAGGCAATCAGTGATGCAATTGAACCCAGGTTTCTGTTTAATAAACCAACCCTACAAAATACAAATAAAACAGAGTCAGATGCTACAAATGCAATACGCATATATACAGACGACTCAAAAACCATAGATGGCTCAGGATGTGGAGTATACTCCAGATCACTAAACCTAAGGATGGGGATGAATAGGAAAAAATACCAGTGTGGTCCAAACAGAACTGGCTGGTATCTCAATCGCCACAAACGAAATAACCAGGAAAGGAATTTCTGGCAAAAACATAACAATCTGCACTGACAGCAGACAAGCCCTATTAGCCTTGAAAAGACAACATGTTACCTCAGGGCTAGTACTAGAGTGCCACCAAGATTTAGCCAAAGCCTCAGTAGATAATAACATTATCCTGAGGTGGGTTAAAGGGACACGACAGGAGTAAAGGTAATCGAAATGCCAATTCTTTAGCCAAGGAAGCGGCTGGACTAAGAGTTTTAGGACCCAGTGGCACCTACGGCCTGATGACTTCGACAATTGCGGAACTAGCTAAATGTTACACCCATGCTCAATCCCTAAAGATATGGAATGGAATCAACCTGAGCGACCTTAGGAAGCTGGCGCCGAAGAAATTTCTGGCGATGACCAGGAAAAATCTACGCTTAACAGCAGGATTTCTGACTGGCATATATTTGTCAACTTTTTGCAATATCACATTCATTTTCTGTACAACAGCATCCAGGCTTATATCACTACAAGCTAATAGAGTATCGTCTGCAAACAGGTTGATCAATTCACAATCGACATGTATATTAATATCTTTTAAATATATAATGAATAGTAAGGGGCCCAAAATACTTCCCTGGGGTACTCCTTTATCGTTTAATATTTCATTTGAAATTGTACCATTGATTCTTACTCTGTGTTTTCTGCCTTCAAGATAGTTTGAAAACCATTCATACACTTTGCCCTCAATTCCGTATATTTTCATTTTGCTGAGGATTATATTTCTGTCGATTGTTTCAAAAGCTCTCTTCAAATCTAAAAATACTACAAACTTGTTGTTACCTAATTTGTTTATCAAATAGTTGAGTGACCTCTGCAATGCCGACAAACAGAATCTCATTTTCATTCACAAAGTTTAGCAATTGATTGTAAACAGCAGGCTCAAGTACTTTTTCAATGGGCGGCAGCGTATTAATTGGCCTAAATTCCTCAGCTCTGATAGTTTTATTTACCTTAGGAATTGGAATGATAGTACTAATTTTTAGCAGATCTGGGATCTTTCCAGTCTGAATTTGGATCAAATTGTGTGTAAAAAATGTAATTAAGTGCTCAAAAACACTCGAAATATTGACAGTGGCATACGGTGATTGTACTGTAAGTCAGAGAAATGTTTTACAGGAAAAAACAACACCGTAATAATGCCTCGGCCACAGTGGTCATCAAATTTGGCCTCCTACGACGTTTTTCCGTTCCAGAAATTGAAACAACCCATGAAAGGACAGTGTTTTGCGACGATTGAGGTGATAAAACCGAATCGCTGACAGAGCTCAAGGACATACCAAAAAGTGCTTATCAGAACTCTTTCGAGTTCCCTATTTTGAAAGGGACAAAATGGAAATTGAGGAATGAACGAATATTTTTTGAGAAAAATGATAACCCCCATCTTATTTTTTGAACAGAGTAGTATATTATGAAAATATTTTTAGGTTTGTCGTCTATTCAAATTCAAGAATGCTGTGTTTTACATACTATGCTATAGTTCATTAACTATCGTTATTATTACAGCTGGAACAATAATCCCAGAACAAATGCGGCACCACCTCAATTTTGGAGTACCCCTCCATACCTGAGGACTCCTCCGCCATACCAAAGGGGACCCCCACCAAGGCCAGACAGCAATACAATATACNTTCGCGAGAAAAGTAGGTACCAGTTTTACAAAAAGTTTGGTGGAATGATGAATGATGTTTGACATCTAAAATAAGGAATAAATTCAAAATTTCAGACCAAAATTTCAAGTGGGCCTTGATTCTTTGTGAAGTTCTGCAAATAATCGCAAAAAGATATAATCATCACATGATGGGCCAATATTTACATATCTCTGTATCTTGTGACAAATTAAATCTGCCGTTTTTTTCCGCCCCACAAGCATTTCTGTGTACACAAAGTTGCCATTCATAAATTTTAGTCGCAGAGTAAAAATTATTTTTTTTATATTCATTCAATAAGCATTGATGCTGTTAAATACATTTCATAAGCGGGTATTTTTTTTCAATAAATAAAACACGTTGTCCATTACTCTGTGACTATTTAGCTGCGAGTGTATGATTTAAATTGAAGATGATAAAATATATAGAATCATAACCTGACAACAATATTTTTGTTTGAATGAAATATTTCTGAGAATTTGGTGCCTACTATTATGTTTATTCTAATGTTTTTTTTTATGCTGGCATGTCGCATAGTTTTAATTGTTATTCGTGTGATTATTTGTTTGAAAATGGTAAAGTTTACCAATGCAGAGTATGCTGACATACATTTCATATACGGACTTGCTAACGGCGTTATCCGAACCGCTCAATTCCTACTTCAAACACCTTTTCAAGAATTCACACTGGTTAAGGGAAACAGGAAGTTTTGAGAAAGAACCACAGCAACACCTGGTTAAAAGCTCCAGAAAAATAGAGCTGTTTAGTATGGAAAATGTTAATCAATAATTTGTCATATCCCTATCATATTCTAAAAGTTCAGGCACTCCGAACTCGTGACTTTCCATTATGTATCGACTTCTGTTGTTGGTTTCTCCAACGCCTTATTCAAAATCAATCAAATCAACGCCTTATGAAAATCAAATCAATTCTGTTTAAAATGTTTTTCCGTTAACCAGCTGTCGCACCCCTACGAACGACAACCCTCAGAAGTCGAAACTTGTGCGAGCTGAGGATCAACGAGGTCTTACCTTTTAACGTGTGATTCCTAACACGGTAGTAGAAAATTAGTAATTGTTTTCAAATATGTATATATAGAAAAGGTACCTTGAGAAAAAATCCGAATACGTCTGAATCATATATATCAAAGCTCACTCTATAAACAGGGAGTAGCGAGAGAGAAACGGCAACACAGTCCAGGTTACTATATATTGAAAGTAAGGTTATTATGTATATAGATATTAAAAAGTATTTTTCATCTAAATGTTTTTCAAAAATGACAATAAAAATATATAAACTGATTTCTTTTATTTTTCTTTTTTTTTCCTATACATATTTTTTTTAAATGATTGTGATTCAGTTACATTTGTTTATTAATAGATAGATATATATATAGACAGATAGGGTCT